ATTTTATTATTGACTTATACATATTCTTTAATATTCTGGATACAATACAGATCACTGATCATTTCAAAGAGCCAACATTTAGTGTTGTTGATTTTCACTACTGTTTGCCTGATTTCACTGTTGGTTTTCTGTTGTTTACCTAATTTCACTTATCCTTTTGTATTACTTTCTTTTTGCTTGTTTTGTGTTTACTTTGCTCATCTTTTCATAGGAATTTATACTTATGAATTACCCTTTAAAGTACTGCTTTAGCTGCATTTCAAGCTTTGGTGTTTTGATTGTATCCATCTCAAAGTATTTTCTAATTTCCATCATGATTTCTTCTTTAACCCATTGGATTATTTAGGAATGTATTTTTTAATTTCCACATATTGGTGAGTTTCCCATATTTCTCTCTATTGCTGATTTCTAATTTAATTCCATTTTGGTTAGAGAACATAATTTGTATGATTTCAATTTTAAATCTTTTGAGGCATGTTTATGGCCTAGCATACAGTCTTTTTTGAAGAAGGATCCATGTACATTTTGTTGTTGTTTGGAATTAGTCTAATGTTTTATAGTGTTGTTCCTCTGTTGCTAATGGTGTCCTGGAGCTACCAGGCCCTTCTTTTTTTTTTTCTTTCATTTATTTTTATTAGTTGGAGGCTAATTACTTTACAATATCAAGTGCTTGGGCCTGGTGCGCTGGGAAGTACCAGGCCCTTCTTAATTGTTCACCATTAAGATCCTCATTGTTTTTCCAAAAATGCCCTTAGGCGTAAATGTTTCCAGGTTCTTTTCCAAATAAATTCAATCCCTTCAGGCACAGCTGCTGTGCTGCTTACAGCCTGCTTCTGTACCCAGGAGAAACTTCAACTATATATGTGTCTTTTTCAATTTTGGTTTCCTCAGGGTATATGCCTAGGAGTGGGATTGCTGGACCATATAGTGGTTTTATTCCTAGATTTTAAGGAATCTCCATACCATCTTCCATAGTGGCTGTATCAATTTACATTCCCACCAACAGTGCAGGAGGGTCCCTTTTTCTCTACACCCTCCCCAGCATTTATTGTTTGTAGCCTTTTTACTTATGGCCATTCTGACTGGTATCTCATTATAGTTTTGACCTGAACTGGTGGATATAGCAGGATGTCTTCTATAGTAACACTCCACTGGGCATTCAAGGGAGATGGTAGCACCTGGTTATTTCACCTTTCCTATCTCCATGTAGAAACTTCACCCTAGAAATGAGCTTGGGCCAAGAAGATCAGTCCTTTAGCCCAGGCTTGCCTAGAGTAGTGATTTGGCAACATAGGGCTGTGATGGAATAAAAGACATCGGTGCCCTCCTCCAGGGGTGAAAGTATAGCCCTAGACTAGGAACTGCAAGGATAATAAGCCACGGTCTTCTTGGGCACACCCATACTTAGAGGAGAGCTTGTCACGTAGAGCTGAGGGAGATTGGAACAGGTTATAGCTCAAATGCCAAATTCTATTTTTACAGAGATTTAGTAGATCTTTTTTTGAACAAATGTTTATCCATTTGCTGTATGCCCTTATGACAATTTTTAGGGACTTTAAATGTGTGTGTGTGTACATACATATTTGTCACCAATTAAATGTTATTTCAGTAGAGAGTGAGCCCACCAAGATCCTCATACAACTCTTTTGGAAGTCCTGCACCCACCCCTAAATGTTGATATTCTTCAGGGAGATTTTCATTGTCCTCTTTGTATACCCTCTCCTGTATGACCTTTACTATCTCTTCACTCATTGCCCATCTACTGATGATTCCAGGATCTACACTTCCAGCTCATTCTTCTTTCCTAAGCTGCATGTCTACATATCTCTGGACTTTCGGATATGTCTAAGTTAATGTCTCTTGGCTACCAGAAACTAACAGCTGTAAAACTACTCTCATTGCCTCAGTTTTCCATAACTAATGCTTTCCCTCTATTAGATTCCACCAAGGGAATGCTACTATCATCTCAGTTGTTTTAGCCAGATATCTTTAAATATATCCATGATATCTACCTCTCTCTAATCCCCTACATCCAATTAATCAACTCATGCCCCATTAAATCCTATAAATTTCTAAAGTGTGTCCACATCTATCAATATGGTCAGTACCCTAGTTCAGATCACCATCATTTCTCACCTGAACTACTATCACAATCTTCTCTCCCTTTACAAATAATTTTCTACTCTTTAGACAAGTTGATGTCATGTCTCCTCTCCTTAAATTCCTGAACAAGTCATATCAGACTGTCTATAATCTGGCTTTTTCTAATCCCGTGACATTCACTTGGAGATCCTTTCTTCTCCTCTATGTGCTCAAACTATGTTCTAGACATAATGAACAAGTTCTTGTTCCTAAAATCATCCAGAACCTCACACTGGCTCTTCCCTTTCTGGAAGAATACCCTCCCACTACTTCTCCTGGCTAGGCCCTGTTCACCGTTCAGGTGCTAAGTTACATGGCACTTTCTCTGAGAATCTCTCATCCCTGCTAAACTAGGTTAGTTTACTACATGCTGGCAGAGCCCACTGAACCCCACTATCACAAAAAAACCACTATATTTTGTTGATATTTTTTGTCTTATCATCTGTCTTCCCAACACTGAGAACTCCAATTGTAAGGATAGAGGTACTAGATAAATGCAAATACCTCCCTATTTACCTACCAGGTTAAGGCTAGATGAAAGAACACAGCTTAAAGACTAGAAATATTGTTGACTGAGATGATAGAAGGTCTTTATTCATATTATATTAAGGTTTAATTTAGAAATTGATTAAGAAATTTAATTAAGAAAAAAGGTAATTGTAAATAGACTTGGACAGCAGGGTGTTCTAGGGCAGCAAAGTATTCCTGGGAAGGGTTTTTCCTTGCTTTAAACAGTATGCATCTGTTTAGATAGACTGGGCTAATCCCTAAAATGTCCACTAGGGAGCATGATGCTATCACTGGTAATGCCTAGTAAGAATGATTTTGCAGTCAATTTATGTGCTTGTAATACCAAGAAATGAGGTCTAAGTTTGAGTGGTTAGACAAAAGGCAAAAAGAGAATTGATATGAACTCTGTTTCAAGTCCTCTATACCTTCAGCACTGGCCCCAGAGAGGTCTAAGGTTTGAGAGGTCCTGGACTGCTTTTTCACACTGCTGTGTAGGATTACACAGGGCTGGGGTGTTAAGTCTTCTTAGACCACGGATGGGCTTCTTGATTCTTTATGTTCACTATCCTGGGAAGAGGTGGAACACCGAATTCACTGTAAGATACTGTCAGTCGTGTTTTTCTTCATCTTAACATAAATCATGAACTTTGGAGTAAAAGGAAACAATTTCTATATCCAACCCACCACATTTTAGTCCTTTGATCCATTCCATTAAGGTTCATATCTTTGATTGTAGAAATATAAATTTGAGAAACTCTTAAGTACTTTTTAGAGATTGAGTCGTGGGAGCAGCTTTACCTTATCCATGGTGGGAATCATTTTATCCATGTTTTGAAACTGCAAACTCAGGTTTTTGGTAGTGATGGGGAGTAGGGGATGGACGGACTTTCCTAGGCCAATTTGGAGTCAGCCTGCATTAGGGAACTTTTCTAGCAATGGAACCTAGCAAAGATCTGAACTGTACAGTAGTTGTAAACTGTGTTCTTCGCCTCACATAAATGGCCTTGTCTCTGGGGCACTGTAGAAAATTGATAAGGGCACATTCTGGGGTAAAAAGATAGAAGGGGGATAACAGGGTTCCATTTCCTGAGTCCGGAGTGGTGATGTCCTTGCTTACCAGTTGAAAAATCACTGCGCTCAGAAGAGCACATGAGAGTCACACAAGGCAGCTTAAAAAGGATCCATAAAAAACAGGGAACTTTCTGAAAAACAAGGTGGTAGCAGGCCAGCCTACTTTTAGCCAATATATTGCAATTGTGTGACTTAACAAATGTGAACCCCTCTGAATTGATTGTTCTCCCTCCCCTACCAGCCTCAGTGCTTGGTGAGTAGAAAGTCTGTGTGGGAATTAGGAGATGAAAAACCAAACCAACCAAAAACAAGCCTGCATTCTTCCCTTCATCAACACTTGGTAGAGAACTTGGTCTGGATTTGACACCCAAGTTTTGTGCCATGCCTGTGCACTTGTGCAGGAAAGAAGTAGCGAAAATTCCATGACAGCCCTGTGCAGCGCGCTGTACTTAGTCACTCTGTTGTGTCTGACTCTTTGCAACCCTATGGACTGCAGCCTGCCAGGTTCCTCTGTCCATGGGGATTCTCTAGGCAAGAATACTAGACTGGGTTGCCATGCCCTCCTCCAGGGGATCTTCCCAACCCAGGGATCGAACCGTCTCCTGCATTGCAGGAGGATTCTTTACCATCTGAGCCACCAGGGAAGCCCATGACAACCATGACCAGTACCCTAAAACACTCTGAGAAACAGCAAGGTGCCTGTGTTGTGTGTGTTTGACAATAAAGGGGTCATGGATTTTGGGAACTATTCTGGGGGAAGGGGCTCATCTGTGCCATCTGTGTCTGGGTTACATGTGTTTATGTTTGAAAAGAAAAAAGGCTAGAATACACACACACATTTTTTTAAATATAGTTATTCTTGGTAGGGGGATCATGTGTGATTTTTTATTCATTTATTTTGGGGGGAATTTTCCAACTTTTATGAAGTTAAGATGAATTAACTTTCTAATGAGGAAAAAAGTTTCAGCTTTTAAAACTAAATTATAGAATGGGGAGTGGAACCTAAGCTATGTCCACCAGTAGTGTTCAAAGCTTTCTGGTCATATTTGACATACTGATGCAAGTAAAAGTCTTTTTACACGTAGAGCTGGGAGACCTCCGAGGAAAGAATTCACATTAAGGGAAGACAAAGTCTGCCAACATGTTAGCTCAGGAACAAAACCTAGGTTTTTTGAGGGGAGGAGAGGTTCTGGCTGTATTGGGCTGTCGACTGATCTTCCAACCAGCCTTCTCAAGTCTTAGGCACAGAGGGAGGCCTACAAGTATACTCTGAACAATTTTTTTCAATTTTTATTCTGAAAAATCTCAAACATATACAAAAGTATAGAGAACAGTATAACGAACTCCCAAATATCCATCACACAACTTCAATAATTATCAATTTATTGCCAATTTCATCTGTATGCTCACTCACCCCATCTAAGCGAATGTCAGTAGCATATCTTTTCATCTGTTAAACTTACAGTATATTTCCCTAAAAGATAAGGATTAAAAAAACATAACCACAGTACCATATCATACCTAAAAAAATCCCAATACACCAGGGAGATGTGTTTTTATTTCAAATTCTATAAAAATTGGGGGAATAATCAATACATTTCACTGGTACCATGTGGAAGGGTGTAACACTCAAATGGAGCCCAAGCTTTTTTCCGATGTTACTGCTTTACAATGCAAAAGAAAGAAAATTGCCATATTAGGGCCACTCTAGGGCCTCTGTAGGGAGATGGGGAAGAGTGCTGACATCACAAACCCCATGGCAGAACCCCATAAAATTTCCTCTAAACATCTCTGTCATTTTTTTAAAGTTGCTCTCTTGGAGGTAGCTGACCCAAGTCCTCTCTAAATCTTTTAATTTTCAGCACCCTCCTAGAAGTTCCCCCCACCTTGAATTTTCCAGGTGACAACAATGTAGCTGTCTTTCAGTCCTCTGCATTCTCACATACAGAATCAAGGTGGGATGAGGATCTAGCTGAGTGTATTGGAAAAGGGGATGAAAACTGTGGCCAACTGAATCAGTAAGAGATAATAAAGAAACCTAGGCAAATTAAGTGGCATGATTAACTTTGGAAACTGTCTGTAGCAGTTTTTGTTGCCTCTGACATCAAATAATACAGTATACTGAATCTGTAAAATTAGAAAAACAATCTTTTCTTCAAAGAAATGTTAAGATTACATGAAATAAGTGGTTAGGGCAGTGCAAAAACAGTAACTTTATTATTTGTATATAATAAAATTTTTATAAAAAGCACATCATCTTATTATGTTCATTGTATTTATTTTTATAATTAGTTTTACAGCAAGTGGTATTCTTGAATAAAATTTTAAGCAAATTAACAACAGTACAAAAACACTGAAGTTGTTACACAAAGGACTGATTCTATAAAATGTTGCCCTAAGTGATGTTAAAACTGTGCTAGCCATTGTGTGGTATGACATAGCAATAGTAGTAATTCTTGTCCTTGAATATCCTACAACTGCCTTGAAAAGTTTCCAAAATGTCTTATTCAGAAAAGCCACACACGTGGTGCCTGGAGAGCATATAGCACCAGATTGGAAGGGGAATGTTTTGCCATTGTAATTATACATAGTGATTATAAAATATTAATTGAATCAAAGAACCTTCAGTGATGTCAGCCATATTTCAAGTAGTGTCTCAGGTGCAGAATATGCAAAGAATAAGGAGACGTGGTTTTTGCTTTCAGTCTAATAAAGAAGGCAGACATATCAAAAAAGAAAAAAGCACAACAAAATGCTACAGGTGCTGAATAAGAGTCCGCTCATGTACAACAGTACAATGACCAGGGCAAGATAAGTCAGCAAAACAGACAGGGAAGGAGTGTCTCAAGATGCAGGAAGAAAACCAGATAAGCTGTCTCCTTGGAAGCATGGAAGTGCTCACCTATACTTGACAATTCCATTTGTTAATGGCTCACATCAATGATTCTTTCAAACAATCCTGGACATCTTTGCTGTTCATCTGGAGAAACAAACCAACATACAATTAGAAGGCTTATATTAATTTAACAATTCTTCCAATTGATAAATTTACAAAGGCTTTATTATCTGCATCATTCACTTCACATTTGGAATGCCTTCACAGAATTATGTAATGCAGCTGCAATGTGAGTCTGGATAAGCAGCTGAGGAAGTTATAAGTCAATATATGTTACAAAACAAAAAAGTATGAAAAGCAGTGACATCAGAAGTTTTGCAAAAGGGGGAGCGGTCACCTAAGACATTAAAAAAATCCTAAATTTCATGTTCTGGACTCTAGGCTTATGGGAATTATTGGTTCTTAGCCATCAAAAAGTTTGTGAAGTTTGATGTGTAGTGGTTTGTGGTGTAGTGGCCACATAACCATGCAAATAGGTAAGCACAATAAATTGTAAAAACCATGACACACACAGGAGAGGGTATCTTGACCCAGGTGGTCAGGAAAGGCTTCTCATAGGAAAAGTTTATGAAGTAACTATTTTTATTATCTTCAATTTTTTATTAAAAACCCTGAGCATCAGATAGATAGATAACTTGGCTGAAGTTACAGAATTAGCAAAAACTGGAAGCAGTTGAAAACTGCTCATAAAAATATCAAGTTTTACTTCAGTTACCATAATGACCTTTCCGGTTCTCATAATGCTATTTGCCCATAAAATATTTAATATCTGTTAAATATAGTATAACAGTTTATCAGGAGACAACTACTAGGAAAATACTGGTGAAACGCTGGTAGTGCCTGGTGGCTTCCCCATATGGGACACCTGGAAGTAAAAGATTTGCCCCCCAAATATATTTGTGTGTGTACATATACAGACACAATTTATTTAAAAATTTTTATACATTATAGACATAGCACTAATTATTTTCAGTGATTCTATGTATCTATATTAATCTCTAATGTTGTCTCTCTATAAATTAAAAGAATAAAATATTTGAACAGCTGAAAATACATGCTGTTTATAAAACATGCAGAAAATAAATTTGATTCATTGCTGCAAACCTCAATTATCTATGGAGAGTACTCTTTTTCTCTTTTTACCAAGGGGAATGCTGAAAAACCAACCAAACAACATATAAGTGACTTTTTAACACTCTTAGAAGGAAAAAAATCAACTGTACTTCAATCTTTGAAGCATAGTAGAAATTTTCTACATGAGGTGGTAGAAATTTTCTACATGATCTCTGCTCATCTGTTTAGCTTGAAAGGCTTGGTCTTAAAGAGAAAAAGAGAAGTCTCCTTGGAGCTTTAAACTATTTCGACTAGGCTAAGTTCCAGAGAATATTTCACAAAAGCTACTTAAATGAACCTAACAGTCAACCCTAAAATATAGCATGACATATTCTAAATGTTTCTGGCAAAAGCAAACAAACCCACAATGTATTTATATGCTAAATTCTTAACAACGGGTTAAGGTGAATACTGTATATTTTTGCCTTTGTCAGACACTTAATTTAAGAACCAAATAAGATGATGCATTATTACCTCTAAGAATAACAAGTTAAGGCTCCAAAGTATTTGTGACAGCATTTCAGATGGAAGGGGTTTTTATCTGCAAAAATATCTGTAAAATAAGAACCCAGTATATCTGCTGTGTTAATGTTAAGGTAGAATTTAAGAACCCTCTTGAATAACTAGGTTATTGGGGGAAAATATCTTTGGATCTATTTGAGATTGTATGAATAGTAAAGGTCAAGTTGTTTGGAATTAAACATGTGCTCAAATATATGTTTGGTATAGGTCACTTTTGCAGAGAAAAATTGAAAAATATACAATAACTATAATTAATCAAATGAAATAATTCAGATACTAAACTGTCATTTGTTTTTAAAACTCATTTTTTAGTTTACTTATATGGCATTAGTACAGAAAATGTTTTGTGAACTGAAACTTGCACTTTATCTGTACTTGAAAGTGTAATAAGATTTGTTTTCAAAATAGTAGTACCAAATTTCTTTAGAAAGTGGAACAGAACCCACTTTTTAGAAGCAATCATATAAGCATGTTACTAATTTATAGAATTAAAATGCAACCAAATAGAGAAAAAATATTTGAGTATTTTGAGGAACAAAACACATACAGCACACCAGGGAGCAGCACAAAAGAGTATATGTTCTAAAATTCAATATAAAGTTTAAAAGCAGAACTACTCTATGGTCTTAAAAGATAGAAGGGCAGAGTACTGATTAGGAAGAGGAATGCAATGGACTTTTGAGTTACAAGTAATACTATTAATAATTTCTGGATCTGAACTCTAGTTACATGTATTGCTCACTATGTAAAGATTCATTAAGCTGTAAAAATTTGTCAACTGTTCTGCATGTATGTTGCACAACAGTAAAATATGAATTAATTTAACAAAGGATAACTTCCATTAAATCTTTAGCAGTAACTGTGTTTAAAAACAGGCTACTTTCAGGACTAACAAAATGTTTGAAATGACTATTACTTTCTACCTTATTATTTACTAGATGGGTGTTTTAAAAATGCTTAAGTATTATGTATGGAATGACTTTTCCAACCTGATGCCCAATTTAGAAAGTAGATTTTCCCTTTACCTAACTGCCCACATGGCTAGAGGAATAAAGGTAGTTCCAGAAGATAGACTTATACATTTTAGATAGGATCCCTGATTTCAAACAAGTCCTGAAGCAAATGTAAGTAAGAGCTTTTACTTAGAAACCCAAAAAAGTTTGTCATGTGACACAAAGCCTTATCCAAAACCTTCACAAGAGATCGTTCAGGTATCTTAACAGTTTGAGTCAGTAGTAGCTGAGTATCAAGAAAGCTAACTCCCTCAACTGGGATAAAACTACCATATGATATTCCACTTCTTTGACTACTGATATTCAGACAAGTTTAAGTGGACTATCACAAATTCAAATACGCAAACTTTCTTTCAAAGACTAGTTTATACTGAGGGAACCATAGTTGTTCTAGGGCACTGAGAAAGAGCAATGGAAGTTGGAAGTTCAGCATGCTAAATCACACTCAGAATACAGTTTTCATAATATGTACATTATCAGGACAGTACATAACAACCTTCTCGAGAGGGTGTTTTTATAAAATGATATTTTGCTAAGCTGCATTTGGGCTAAAAGGGTAATGGCTATGTCAAGTAAGAAGTAAAAAAAAACACCAGTTGTGAAAATATTCTGAAACTCGAATTAACAACATATGAATAAAGCAATTTCTGAAAAGGGCAAATTAGATCACATATCTGAACATCCAATTATTGCTCAGTGTAGAAAGAGCAAATGATGTAAAATTTCTTAAATACTTTTTTGAAATTCAAAACTGGTCCATCAAACCAATTCCCATCACAGAAGGGCTTGCTGACAGGACTAAAGCTGTGAATGAGAAAACAACTTAAAAAATTAATGAAAATGCCACACAACCAAGGTGATCAGATTTTAAAGGCCCTCAATACAATACAAGCCACAAGACTGGTACCAAAAGTATACATGCACACAAGCGCGTGCATGCACATACACACACATCCCAAACTCTGGGTGAGCAGTTAAGGCAACTTAAAAAACAACCCATGTGGCTTTGGCTTTCTGAAATGTGTTATAGTGCTACCAAGAAGCGATTCTGAAAGCATCTGAAAAACGTGCAAAGTGCCTGAAAACAGTGCCTGGCAACTGAGACAGTTTGCAAGCGTGATTCAGAGGTCTGCCAAGGAAACAAAAGAAGCCTCCCTCCTCCCGGTGAGACCGCACACGGCAACGAGAGGTGCTCCGGGCACTACTTATTGTCAGGTAGGCGGAAAGCAGAAGTCTGCACGAGTGGTACATACTAGGGATCGCCCTCCGGCAGGCACGGGGCCACGGAGTTTCCATTGGTTGGGGAACCGCCCAGCTTTAGTTTTTGCAGATATTCGGCATGCACGGGCTTGTGGCACTGGAGAACCTTGATCGCATCTTCGACTTTGAACCACTCTCGCTTCCTCCCAATGTTAACCGAATCTTCCCAGTCCTCCAGAATCTCAGTGACAGTCAGTACATACACGTACGTTCTGTGCTTGCGATCTTGGTTCTGCTCGAAAATGCCCAGGAGCCGGCCTAACTTCCCCTTGACTCCCGCCTCTTCAAACACCTCGCGGACGGCCGCACCGCCCGGCTCCTCCTCGGGCTCCATGCCCCCGCCCGGCACGATCCAGCGGTCCGGGTACCGACTGCTACTCACTAACAGCACCTCGTCCTCGCGCTCGCTCCGGAAGCACAGGCACGCCGCCCGCTTCTTGAACCCCTCCGGGTCGTAGGTCCGCGTCTGGTTCGGCTTGCACTTCATCTTCGAGGCCGTCCGCCGCCGCTCAGGTCCCCGCTACCGCCGGGTCGAGGGGCTCCAAGGTGCTGGGGAGAGAAAGAGCCGCGAGGAGGGGCAGAGAGTGAGAGAGAGAGGCGCCTCAGCCCACGAGCCCCGGGAGCTCAGGGAAGATAAGGCCGGGGCGGGGACGGGGGCGGGGGCGCACGAGGTACGTCAGTCGGTCCGTCCCCTGCGTGGCCGGGGGTCCCCGGCACAGACGCCTGAGTGGAGGAGGTGCCGCCCCCGCCCCCGCCTCCGCTCCGAGCCCGCCACTCTGTGAGGAGCCCACTCGCGTCTCCGGTGCGCGTCTCCGTCCTTCTCTCTTTCCCTCCTCAGCCGCCGGGACCAAGGCTGAGCGAGGTGATGCGCATTCGCGCGCGCGTCCGCGTCCCCAGGCACGTGCGCGTTCCCGTCGGAGGGCGGGGGGCGGGGGTCTCGCGGCTCCCACAGCGCCAGGCGCCTCTGGCGCAGCGCGCAGGCGCCTGGCACTTCTCGGGCTGGGACTGTCGGTCCCCCAGGGTGAAATGCACCGCTTTGTGACTTGGGCCAGCTTCTTTCCACGTGTGCCTTTGACCCAGACGTGGCTGTGGCGCGGCCGGACGTTTCTCTTCACCCTCTCCATCAGGTCGCAGGAAACACACGCGCAATCGTTTTACACACAGGAGCACAAGACCGATGGTCAGGTGCATAAGGTCGTAGTCATCTCCCACAATGAAGAGTACCGGCTTACTTATAGGAAGGCCTCGGTTTTGTCAAGATGATCCTAGGTATCCTTGGGTGAAAGAGTACCGAATCGTTGCTGAGTCATTTCGTGCAGTTTTGATTTTTCAACAGGTTCTTCACTTCGCCAGGCATCTTGGCACAGTCCGTGACTGAACAGCTTTCTTGAACCTACCCCTATTGACATCTTACCTAACCTCTGGTCCCTGGTTTCCTCATCAGTAAACTCCTCACCTACTTGGTTCAGACCTTTGCGCTTTAGATCATATTCACCTAACAGCTGGAGAGCCACCCAAAGCAGTGTTTTATTCAATCCCAGGAATGTCCTCGCTTCACACACTCCACACGTCTCTGTCTTTCTCATTGGGAAGCACTAGTTGAGTGATTTTTGGAAACATGCCTCTGGCAGTCCCTTCATATTTTACATTTTGAGTTTCAGAAGCCTCCTGGCCTGGACTCCAGCAAGGCCACTTGGTGATCTCTCACCTCTGTCTGCTGCTGCTGCTGCTGCTGCTGCTAAGTAGCTTCAGTCGTGTCCGACTCTGTGTGACTCCACAGACGGCAGCCAACCAGGCTCCCCCGTCCCTGGGATTCTCCAGGTGAGAATACTGGAGTGGGTCTAGCCATCTTATACCCTTGGCCAAGAAGTGCCCTCCCCACAACCCCAGATATAACAACCTAAAGCCTACCCCCTTCATTTTATTTCATCTTACTGTTTCCCTGCTCTCACAGTAACCTTATGAAGAAGACCTCTGATGTCCCCCACATTTTGCCTTATTGCAACTTAGGCATCTTTGTCTCTTTAACCTGCAGACACTCTGCTGGCATCAGGCAAGCTGGATCGTGACAACTCACTTTTCCAAGGAAATAACCAATTCCTCAAGGGGCAACTGAATCGGAAAGGTATGTGGAAAATGGTTATGAAACATACAGTCCGGTTTTTAAATGGCAAGTTTGTTTAGATTCCCAGAGTCTGTTCCACTCCGTGTATACCCAAATAGCCCATAAAAATGGTTCTGTTCCTGGTGGCAAGACTACCCTCAATATCTTGAGCATAATATGACAAAGGTATGTGGGCATGAAAGAACAAAACTGTAGGAAGAAAATGATAAGAGATGTACAGAGAATCACCTGAACCAATAGCCATACTACTGCTAATGACCATATTTCAATGATATATGGATGATCAAAGAACATTTTTGGAATGCAACATACCATGACCTAAAACAAACTAGGAGGACTTCCCTGGAGATCCAGTGGTTAGGACTCTGCACTTCAAAGCAGGAGGCACGAGTTGGATCCCTGCTCAGGAAAATTTCCTATGCTGCATGGTAGGACTTCCGCCCCACCCCCCCAAAAAAAAACTACACTAGGAAAATATATAAATTTCAGCAAGATGCATTCCTTAGTGTGTTCATACTCCCAATTAAAAAATCAAAAACAAAATCCATCATAATCAGAATCTAGGCAAATATATCAATTGTCACCCATATTATTACATATCATTTAAAATTTTCTTTCCCACGTAATGAAATCATAAAGAGAAAAATGCCTGCAATTTTGGTAAAGAAGACAAAATACTCTTTTTTGCAGATAGTAGGAATATATTCTTGGGAAATGCCTGAGAAACGATGTAAAAATAAACTTCTTTAAGTGAGAGAAATTACTAAATATTAAAATAAAAAATCCCAAGAACTTTCATGTATGCCAGCAATAATCCTGTAGAAAATAGAATGGGTAAATGATGACCTCACAGTAGTAGTATCAACCACTCCAAAGTAAATGAAACACCAAGGAATCCTAAAAATATGGTTAGGACATTGTAGTAGAAAATGATAAAACTCATACTCAGCCTTAAAAGATATTTGAGTAAATCAAGAGGCACTTTAGCAAAGTTGGGAGATTGGGCTTGTGTCTGCAGGGATTATTATTATTCTTTTCTTGCTCAGTACTTTCTTGTTTTCAGTCACTTAGTCGTGTCGTGACTCTCTGGGACCCCATGGACTGCAGTACACCGGGCTTCCCTGTCCTTCACTATCTGCTTAGGACTGGAAAGTATTAGTCCCTCAGTCGTGTCCTGCCAACTCCTCTGTCCATGGGATTCTCCAGGCAAGAATACTGGAATGGGTTGCCATTTCCTTCTGTCTGCAGGGAGGTGTGGACCAAACAGGCTGCAGTTACATCACAGGTCTGCTTCACAATTGCCAAGTACTATCTCCTTGTCTTACCAGAGGTGCCGTTTTATATTCTATTCCACCATTCCCACTTCAGATTACACCCATGCAATATGTCTGTGCTGGGGGTGGGGCATAGCTATTGGAAGGTAGAAGAGAGGCAACATTATAATATGGAAGGAGGTAGAGAGTGAATTCTACTGGCAAAATCATAGCTTGTTTCTGGATAAAGAGATCCACAAGTTGCAGGTTTAGTACACTGCCAAGGATATTTACAAATTAGTTTTTTCCCCTGATTTTCATAAAATAATTGTATTTTCCACCTGTTAAAACAATAGGGCAAAGCAGTTTTGACTTTTTCTACACAAGAGTAGAAATCTTTTTGGAAAGACTAGCACTCCACTGCGTGGTTTATCTATAGTTCAGTGCTACTGCACTGATGAGCAGGGTTGTCTTTTGAGCCACTGTAGTAGTAGGCTGTTACAGCGACAGCTGTGATACGTGCATGCCTCCCACATTGTCTTAGCCTTGGCAATGGAGCTTGCTTTGTCTGATGGGACAACAGCATGTGTGAAGCAAGCAGAGAGTTGAAAAGTGTTTGTGCACTGGGCTTTGCCCGCTCTTGCTGTTCTTGAAACAAGATGATAGTAATGTGATGAAGCCTGGGCTAGGTGAATGATGCGAGATCCATGGTCCATGCATCACTTTCACCCTAGCTGCCAGAGAATCATTTACCAGAAGTGTGGGTGAGACCATCCTATACCATCCAGCCCCCAGCAGAACCAGTTAGCTAACAGAGCACTGACCACGAATGCATTAAGTGAGCCTTCTGAGAACAGCAGGACTGCTCGGCTGAGCCCAGCTGAACTCATTCAGCTGCAGAATTGTGAGCAAAAGAATCAGTTGTGTAAATTGTGGGGTGCATCAAGAGCTAGCTGACACAACCATTAACTGCCATCCATCAAATTCCAACCAAAACTAAAGAGAACATGTATATTTCCTAGGAGAATTTTACCTCTTTTGAAGAGATTGACATTGAACTGAGTCAGACCTTGACTCTGACTCCAAAGGTAATCTTCCCTTCACTATGACAGATTGCACATGTGCTGAGATTGCTGAGATGCACACACAGTACATGTCATTCCTTATGGTACAGACCTTCTCCTCTCTCATTTTTTATTCTACCTGGGTGATCCAGGCACTCAGGAGACCATAGCTTCTATGTAATGTTCTAAAACTGAGAAGATCAGCCCTGAGAGCAACAGGTCAGGGATACATATTTCTGCACTTTGTCTGAGTTAGGAAGGAGCAGGCAGATTGGAAAGTGAGAGCAAGATTAGAAACATGATCCTGCACAGTTGGGCATCTTTCTTGGTGAGATGGGCATGGAACCTAGAGTTGTCTCTTTTGTGATTGAATTCTAAGAGGGAGGAGTTCTCCAGAACAGATGTCAGCTCGGATGGAGACTATTTCAGACCTTCTCAGAGCCTTATGGTATTCACAGCCAGTTCCAACTTTCAGGAGAGTTACCACCCATACCTGCGAGGATTTCTAGATGTATTAAAGGGAAGCAGAGTCAGGGAATGTGATTTTAGTCAGTGAGTGGGGAAAATTGGTGTTTTGTTAACCAAATGCCCTAGAATTTAAATCTCGCTCTCTCACTAGCTGTACAGTCTTAAATCAGTGAATGAATATCTTGGACCTTGATCGTTCTCATCTGTAAAATGGGGATAATGAAAGTACCTTCCTCATTAATTTCTCTCTCCCCCAAAGGCTTTCCTGACCATTACTCACTCATCTCTTATACTCCGATTAAATTACCCTCCTCCTTTTTGCCAGGCCCCCTTGACTTGAATTCTATCATGGTTTTAATCAGGGAGCACTGTGATGATCTGTCTGCATGTTTGAAAAAAATGTAAAGGCTAGGGGCCAGCCAGATACATACCTGTTCCCCGAGTCAGCACAGTGACCTGAACTTGGCATCCGGCAGGGATTCGAAATATATTGATTGAGTGAAAGAGGCTAGTTGGATCGTGAAGGATGGTTCTCATTCCACCTAATAATTGTTTATTCCAAATATAAAATGAGAGATGAGTGAACACAGGCAACTCCGTACGTGGCTTTTCATGTGGGGAGGCTTCGTCGTGTTCCTTGCATTCTCTCTTTTTCTCTGAAGTGCAGAGAGGGGCTATAGTAGGTCATTCAGTAGAAA